TGGTCAAATAGTAAGATGAGCTGTGATATGCTGTTACACTGCACGAGCAAATAGCGATCCTCGAAGCGCAGAAAATATTTTTGGGGACATTGTCATGCATGCGTGCTTCGTCTTTTTGCCGCCTGCCCAGAGAGAAAATCTTCCGTCCACGTCTTGTTGTGTCATGAATAGTTAAACCTAATAATCTCATCGTGCTCGTGCCCACACGGATCTTTAATGATGATAAGAAAAACGTCAGTAACTGTTCTTTCTCGCTTACGTTTTCTTTCACTGGAAATCGTCAGGTTTCTGAAAAGGCATGCGCTAGAAAGCAGCTTTTGTTACAATTGTACTTGCTCAGCAAAACTCGTGAAATAACACCTCAGTGGTCAGTGGTCACTGATCAGTAGAGCGCATGATATCCGTATAAACCAAGTTATGTAAACTAGACCGACAATTATATAACCTCTTATATATCTATTGATACACATGAAATCGTACGTGCGTCCTACTACCAGTTATGCTAGCAAGCATGCATGCATGTGACTTGTGAGTATAAAATTCTTGTTCATTAGTAGCAGCTAGTAAGATCATGTATGACAAGGTATACATATTCAGCTGCTTGTTTCCCTGTAGGAATCTGTTTTCATGCTAGGCTTCTCAACATAAGAACAGCAGTGAACATGACCTTCTGATACCACCAATATTCTCTCGGAATGTTTTCTGCTTCAATGTCTTCTCCTAAGAACAAGAGCTACCATGATTAAGCGAAATGATGCTACACACACAAGGTTAGAAGAGTGTCCCCTAAAACTTGTGATAGGGCTTTGCTTCAATGTAACCACGGCAGCCGTGAACAGATCTTCTAGAGGTGTGATATCTTTGTGTTTTTGCAAGACGAGAAAAATACCGCCGCTTCTTAGGTCGAAGAGGAAAACAAAACACAGAAGTTAGGTATTCTCCGTGTTGCGTAAATCTAGCCGGACCCTCCATCTAGCCTCAGAAAGTGAGGTTTCTTTGAGAACCCAAAACACCAAAGGCGAAAACAACAGCGTAACACACATGATAGAGCATCAGATGGGAACTCGAGAGGTCGCCTTCAGCGTTTCGTGCAATGTCTCCCCTCGGAGATCGACCTTGGGCATGTATCTCATGCATTGCGCAGGCGATCACACTCATACACATCGCAGTACATAGGATCCTATGAGTGAATTCACACGACGACCATACGTGATGCGCGCCGATGGACAAGTCTCGGCCGTACCATGCTGTATCCTCACAGTACTCGACCAAATTGAACGCGCATATGTCGGGTCAAACTACTCAAGTCGATCTACCACGAGTTATTCAAAGGTACGTACGTACATAGACCTACACCGATAGATAGATCGACCGATCACAAGCCGGGTAGTCGTAGTCGTACAAAACGCAACAGGAGAGGTAGCAAAGGCGCAATTGGATGGATCGATGGATGTGCCACTGCTCCCACCATGGCGTCGCCTCGCACGATTTCAATTGGATGGATGGATCACTCGATCGGATGTAGCAGCTAGGATGGAGGGGCTAGGAGGGAGGAGGAGGAGCAGGCCGGCCGGGCGGGGTGTGACAGTTCCTCTTTCCCTTGAGACGCACTACACCACCGCGCTGCGAGTATGCGCGGCAGCGGCTCAGCAGCTAGCGCGTATCGTGTATCTCGCTTGTCTCGGGCAACTTTATGGGTGTCCGTCTATCGATGCGCGGGCGTACGTGGGTCCCGCCCCCTCCCCGCCCTCATTATTGCGAGAGTAGAAACCCTACCACATCTTCTCCAGGCCGGAGACCTCTCTACACACACACTCGTCCCCCTCCTCCACCTTCTTCTTCTTCTTCTTCTTCTTCTTCTTCTACCTCCCACCCTCCTACCCTCCACATCCTCGTCTTCTGTTGGCTCTTCGCGCGCGCCCAAGCTCACTCTTGACCTCTCCGTCCCACCGACGCCGGCCACCCACCGCCGGAACGACCCGTCGTCCGTTGGCTAGCGAGCATGCAGAGCATGGATTTGGTGTCGCCGTCCGAGCACCTCTGCTACGTGCGCTGCACGTACTGCAACACCGTGCTCGCGGTAAACTCCTCGAGAAACCGGAGCTACTGGCTACTGGGCTAGTAGGAGCTTTGCGATGATCATGGTTTTGTTTTGTCCTAGCATTTTTTTTATTACCTTGCTCGCAAGGGAGAGTAGGAAGCCAGATCAGTCCGGCTTCTTGCTAGCCCTCCCTGATTGGAGGGGACACTTACTAGTATTATTGTTCATGCGACATGATTGGTGTGTCGTGTGTACAGCTCTTTTTCTATGCAGTTGTTTCGTTGGTTCCTGGTGCTTTTGTCTTGCTGATAGCTAGTGTGTCATGTTCCATCTTTTTACCTCCATTAGGTCTGGTGGTTCCCAGACCTCCATACTCTTTATTTTTCTCCTCTTCTTTCTTGTAACATGCATGAGATTGGACATGACTCCCAATTTAGAATGTTCTATCCTCTCCCTGCCTTCCTCTTTGGCATGCACCCCCTCTTTCTTTGTTCTTTCAGATTTCTTGCACAAATTAACAGGGGAAGTAGCGCCATGCAAGGGAATCAGCTGAGCTGAGTGGTTCACACAGTTTTCAGTTTATGTCATTGTGTGATTGATCTTGTGTTTTCTGGGTAGCTGCAGGTTGGGGTTCCATGCAAGAGGCTGATGGACACGGTGACTGTGAAATGCGGCCACTGCAACAACCTCTCCTTTCTCAGCCCACGGCCGCCGCCCATGGTGCAGCCCCTCTCCCCAAATGACCACCACCACCCCATGGGGCCGTTCCAGGTCTCACTTTCGTCTCGCTGCCCCCTATTCATTTATATATTTGCATCAACTTTAATTTGGGGTTTATCTTCTTGCTGTTTCTCTTTCTAAAGAGATATGTTATACTTGTTATGAGGGGAGAGAAAGTAATGAGGACGAACGGTGCAGGATAAGAAGCTGCACTGACGAAAAAAAAGTAAAACACACAAAGAAGTATAAATCGTGGAGCATGGCGTGCAGGATTTTCTCATGAAATATGGTCCTCTCTTGCTTTTCTTTCAGATTGCGCCAGTGTTGCCTTTTCTTTGCTATCTTTGTTTGCGCGCGCGCTCTCTCTCTCTCTCTCTCCCTCTCTCTCCTTGAGCTGCTCAAAAGTACTATTTGCAAGGCAAGATTAGACAACGCTGGACAACAAAAGATTTCTTTTGCTCATCTGTGGCCTGGGAAACATCTGACCACTGCAAAAGCCGGTTGGTGTTATTTAAGGCAGCATGCAGAAGCGAGCTAGCAGCAGCTCTCCTGTGCATTCATGGGGTTGTTTTTTTTTTTTGCGGGGCATTCATGGTTCTTCCATGTCCTAACTCATACGTATTTTGAAAGGAGATGCATTCATTAATATTTTTGATGGCTCGTGAAGATCTTGGAATGTTTTCTAGGAAATATTGATATTATCATCCTCGATCCCTACATGTCATTTTGAGATCTTGATTCTGATGCGTACACATATTTCCGGCTGTTAGGGATGGACTGACTGCAGGAGGAACCAGCCGCTGCCACCGCTGGCCTCGCCGACATCAAGTGATGCCAGCCCCAGAGCTCCCTTTGTTGTGAAGCGTAAGTAGCAAGAAACTTCATTACCTCTTCCTTCTTTTCTTTCTAGTTTTTTGCTCTTCCATGCTTCTGAAGCCAGATTTACTTGTTTAAATTTTGGTTTTGGTTTATGAAAACTAATTAGATTAACAAAGATGGGAAAAAGATGTTAAGATCTTTGTTTCTGATCAGTATTTCTTTTAATTTGACTGTAGCCCCAGAGAAGAAACATCGCCTACCATCTGCCTACAATCGCTTCATGAGGTGAGAAGGCGTTTCAATATTTTCCTTTTAGGCTGTTCAAATGCATCATACATCCCTAGTACTATTAGTACATGTCACAGAATTTATGCTGTCTGGTTTATTCTCTTTGTTTGAGGGTTTACGGCCCTTATTTAACTGAGTCTTATCACGGGATCCATGGATTTTTACTATACATACGTACCCCATATATTTTATGTCATCACAAGTTAGGAGTTTATTTGTAAAAATGTGGACAGACCAGTGGTACAATATATTGAAGCCAGTATATAGATAGTCGGTAATGAATTATTAATGAGTCGTTTCCAGTGGTCAACCAAGTACAAATCCTTGTGTACGGAAACCTAGCTAGAACATAGTACAGGGATCTTATTTTGTTTACAGTAGGTGTGTTTTTATGAATTCGGATTTGATGCAATATTATGCACAAACCATATTTTCCGTATAATTACTATTTTTTCAACTACTCTAACATGGTACCACGAGATACGTGTTCCTTGTCTGGCTTATTAATTAGTAAAGGTGCTAGCCACAAACAAAATATATTATTCTAAATTTTTGTACAATCTTGCCTTGCCAGTTTTGGAACCTAGGTGAGATGGCATTTAATTATTAGGTCAATTCTTTCTAAACACAAATAATTAACACTAATTAATTCGCGTTATTTTAGTTTTCATCATAGTTTTAAATAGCCGGCTATAGCGGAATTTTCATCATGGTTTTAAATAGCCGGCCATAGCTTCGCTATAGCCCACTATAGTCTTTTCAGCAGGGTGCCGCTAAATGGTTTCCTTCACAAATAGCCCGCTATAGCCTGCTATAGCTGATTTGGAGGTCCGTCGCTATTTTCCATAGCCCACAATTTAAAAAATTGGTTTTCATGGATATTTCTAAAAGAATTAAACCAAATTATAAATTAAATCAGTCGGTGAAATGCATGCAGTAACACATTTTACTTCCTCCTTGAGCCAAACAATGCACACCACACGAATTGACTATCAGGGAGTCATCCAGTATAAAATGGAATTATGTGTTAAAAGATCGAGTTCGATATAAAGTAAGGATATTAGTGCAACAATCTTTGTTTCATGTTTCCAGTTGGGTTGTTGCCTAGGTACCCAACAATTTTCTCAAGTCCTTGCTCTGTAATTGAAACATAAAATCATACTGAAATTATTATCCATTTAAAACAAGAGAAGTGACTATCTATTTGAAGTTTTGACCAGTCTTTGTGTGCTACTGGATTATATATGCTACTGGATTTGCGCTTAATGAATTACTATATGCTACTGGACTTACCCTTAATGAATAGAGTTGGAAGTGGCATGTCGAACTAACCATTAATAAAATAGGTTGATAGGGCATGGAAGAAAATGCACCATCCTAGTTTCATGTTGCTGTGCCTTGAGGTCAGTTTTAATTAGAACTCCCTTTCTAATCCCGCAATTGCTATAACTTAGCAACTAGCTTGACTAAAAAAACTTGGTAGGTCCTTCACAATACTGCTTGCAGAGAGAGAGAACTAGTGAGATATAGCAGGGTCGAAAATAAGAATGCATGACATAAATAAGCAGTCAGAATAATAAGGATATGTAGAGATATGGTATGACATAACGCGTATACCTCCAACAACAATATTATAAATTTGACATCCCCAGTAATATAGTTATGTTATGTTTGGCCTGCCAGGGAGGAAATACAACGTATCAAAGCTGCAAAGCCAGACATCCCTCACAGAGAAGCCTTCAGCATGGCTGCTAAGAA